GCTACCATGTTGTATGCAAAGCGGCTGGAAGTGATACGCTACCTGTGCTCTCCCGGCTTGGCGTCGCCTCTACGGAGCACAGTGGCGGGCCTTAGACAGTGGTTGCCGTCACTCTGCATGTCTTAGGCGTAACATCATTCTCTCACCAAGGGTGATATAACTGGGAGTAGCAGGCCATCAGGAGCACGTAGGTATCTCAATGAAGCCATCCCAACCAAGGCAAAGGAACACATCAAGCCAGTCAATGAAAACGCTAGGTCCCAAATAGGCATGGCGCCTTAGTCAAGAGGTGCAGACGCCTCTGCATTAGCGTGGTGTCAGATGCTGTATATTTCAGACAACAGGTAAATTTATCACGTATCGATACGCGATAAGCTTAGCGCTTTATGAACCATAATCTCGCAACCATTACTCTCGAGAAGGGTATCTCAGTCCTCAGAACTCCATCAAATCATTTGCTCAAGGGTATGCTCTCCGGATCGAGCAAATCAGCACGAAACTCCCACACCACCAGCCACGCGTCAATGCATATTATTATGACGTCAAAAGCGAAGAAAAACAGTCCAATCTCTGGGCTCATCCAATTATCGTCAGGTCGACGGTGAGAAGGCTTCTACGCGATGGTCGGCATATCGCTACACCTTGGCTGGCACGGTCGGCTTATCGTCGGTGGTAACGGGAGCTTCAGCGGCGGGGGCCTCGGCAGTAGCACCGGCAGCAGCACCGGCAGCAGCGACAGGAGCCGCGCTCTCGGCTGGCTGAGCTTGGGCAGCTAGTATGGGATTAGCAAGTGCTTTTTCCTACGAACAAGGGGATCATTTGCAAGGCAATTGTTCTAAGTGGTGCAGAATGAAATATCAGGATAAGTCGGCTCACCAGTATCGGTTGTAGTGGCAACAGGCTCCTCGGTCTTGGGTGCCTCAGCTGCAGGAGCTGCTTCACCTGGAGTGGCAGTAGTGGCTGTGGTACCGGCAGCTAGACACAAGTCAGAACTGTCTAGAGTTGTGCTGTTGTATTGTGCACCGTCTCCGAGGCCCGAAACATGAGATCTACGGGTACTGCGATACTTACCAACGGGAGTGTCAACCTTGGCCGCCTCAGTAGCTCCAGTGGCAGGAGTGTCTTCTTTCGGTTTCTTGTCCTTCTTGCGAAAGGCGGCCTTCAACTTGGCCTTCAGGTTGGAGAGTGCGTTTGGCGCTGGGAGAAAAGCGCAAGTCAGTAAACATTGACACGCCGTGTGCTAGCGAAGCGCATGGAGCAGTATTCTTCATTGCTGGCCGGGCCGCGCAAGTTCGGGGGAGAGGAAGAGGTGTCCATTTTGACAATGATCATCAGTACGATTATCAAACCCGCCTGCGAGCAGTGCTTCCGAAGGGGAAGATATATGAAGAGACAGAGGGGTTGAAGGAATAGGGAACCTCACGAATCCCAGGCATCGTGTCGAATCGAATCGTTCGTGAGCGATCACAAGTGAGATATTCTAGTAAGTGATTATGGAGTTCACAGAGGACAAAGTACGATGAAGTCGTGGGAGCGTTGTGTCTTAGGATAAGAATAATAGGACGTGTGATGATAGATCTTGGAGAGCAAAAGTGTGGGACCTGGGGAAATGATATCAACAGAGGGTGGATACGCGCTATCTACGAGAAAGTACTAAAGCAAACCCAACAACCCAGCCAATCTTCGGTGATAGAGCATTTTAGCGCCCGTAGATGCACACCAATGCAAGACGCTCGGGCCCTGGTTTCCAATTCTGAACAGCCAAGACAGCTTCAGGGAAAGAGAAATAACAAGAAAAAGGAGGAAATCAAGGAGCAAGTACGGAGGTAAAGACAGCACAATCGTCGTGTTAGCAACCTATACTACAGACCGGGGGTCGCCTACCCTAAGTAGGGTTCGAAATGAGAAGGCAATACTCGGTAATACCGGTAAGTTGTAACCCATAATCACCTACCTACAGGGGAAGGCCTATCCAGCAACTACCGCGTATGGTGTACGGAGTATCCCGAGCCCTATCATAATTATCGCTGGTCTCGAAGGGTCGCACCCGATGTCTCCTGCTCAACGTGCTCGTACAGCATCGATATTCCCACTCACGGGACCTGCTGGCCACTAACCAACCTACCAATCTCTGAATTATCTTATCCGTAATATACAGTACAATCTAAATATTCTACACCAGATCAACACCGAACGTATGGTCCATAATTAACCAAGCAACCAATTTTGCAAGCTTTACAACGCGAGCTCCGAATTTCCAGTCAAGCAGCAAAGCATTTTGCAACTAGACGAACAGATCTGTATTGGCCCTTTCCTTGTTTAGGCAACCTATAAATTCTTTCGCTCCCATGTGGCCATGAGAACTGCACCTGTATCCAAACAAGTTGTTAATTAGGGCGAGATCAAGTCGATTGGATCTCAAACGATCGAGCATGCCAAGAGCTAACAATGCTGATCCTGGAAATGCGCACAACGCGAACAGATAGATCTAACAAGAAATGTGGCTTCTCATCACTTGACTTCTAGGCCGTTCAACCAGCATCAGGAAGCACGGTTTGTCAGTGGAAGGGCTGACACTCAGCCATCACTTCGGCTCACCCCGCAGATGGAGACCATAGGTAAGCCCACTTCTTTCAACAGACTCCCAAGGATAATCATACCAGCCCCATGTCTTGAGCCACGTGTTGGCCTGACTCCCACCTCATCCAATGATGTCCTTCGCCAAAGCACACTTGAGGGCGCGATATAAACAAATCTCGACAAGAACCTGCACTGCCGGCGGAGTAACCTAATCGGGCTTTCCATGACATTGCCTCGCGCCGTTAGCCTCCGGACCCGGACTACGCCGACCGAGATCGGGTGGATCGGGACCAAGAGTCATAGGCACGAACTAGGAGAGTCCATACCCAAAACTTACTCGACGGACTCGGCAGGGCAGCAGAAGCAGCGCAAATTGCGAGCGGTCATTTGATGGCCGAGTCTTAAATACCATGCCGTAGTCAATTCTGGGCGAACAAAGTATCCACTACAACGAAAATAATTTCTTGGCTCTGAGAGCACGAAGTTAATCCACCTAATGTTAGACAATTATGCGTAGTTGCTCAGATGACTGTAGTTTTTCTAATCTCCACAATTTCGTTTGGGCGTGACTTGAACGTCCCTTCAGTAAGTATCCTATATTTTTCTTCGGCCCAAGGTTTTCGGTGCTTGCAGAGTAATAACATAAAGTTCCACCCTCGCTCTTCTGACATTCGAGACGGTCTCTCAGTTTAATCAAATCCCACTGTCGCCGGTCAATCTCAGCATTCACTCACTCATTAGACATCTTCTCATCCAAGACCAACTTCAAAATGGCCCCAGTCATTCACATAGTTCGCCATGCGCAAGGCTACCACAACCTCAATCAGGAGAATCACTGGCTGCCAGACCCAGATTTGACCGAGCTGGGCATGACGCAGTGTGAAGAGCTCAACAAGTGTTTCCCCTACCATGACAAGATCACTCATCTCGTTGCCTCGCCGCTACGCCGGACTATATTTACATGTCAGTTCTCCTTCGCCGGCGAAGTGAAATCAGGGAAGAAGATCATCGCTCTGCCGGACGCGCAAGAGATATCGCTGTATCCCTCCGATGTCGGCAGTGATTTGGCGCCCTTGAAGAAGGAATTTGGTGATCTCGTCGATTTCCGTCTCGTCTCAGAGGGCTGGAACCTGAAGACGCCTGAGTCGAAGAATTATCCCGAGCCGCGAAAGCTAGAAGCCCGCGCTCGCAGCGCGAGATTGTGGCTGCGTGACCTTGTCAAGGAGGCCGGCGACGACGCCCATATCGTCCTGGTGACCCACGGCGGCATTGTGCACTTCATCACCGAGGATTGGACGGGCATGCGCCCAGAACGCGGTAGGTTTTCGTTATACATAACACTCATTTTGCTTACCTGAACATATATCTATCTGCCCATCTACCTGCACGATTGTTGATGGATTCATTGATTGCTTACGCTGACATGCCGCGCGTAGGAACGGGTTGGACCAATACAGAGTACCGATCCTACCAATTTGCCGATCCAAGCGGCGAGGACGCGGACGCGAGTCTGGTCGAGCTTCCGGAGAGCCAGAAGCGCAGGACTGACATCCCTCTCACTGCAACCGAAACGCTGGAGATGCGTGGTGCGTATGATGATTACCTAGCCCGAGATCTGAAATACTGGCTTGAGCAAATCGCTCTGCGGCAGGCCAATGCCAAGAAACGCGCAAACGGTGCCTAAGCTTTAGACTTTGACTGCTGTCATGAGACCTAGATGATACAGGTGATAGACATTAAGAGGTATAGAGGTCTTTATTCCTGGCATGATAGAATGCCAAATGGACATCGTTGCTACTTAGACTAGAATGAAACGACAGGATACATACTGTTTTTCGTATTTTCTGGGTAATGAGGGCTAGAAGGTTTTTGGTAAGAACGCTAATGAAGCAATGAGATATTTTCTTTTGTAGTTTTCAAGATACGTAATGGAAGACATCAGCTACTGTTTAAAGAAATCTACTTGCCTACGACGTTGAGCCTTGCTTCAAACATTGGGACTAATAATAACTCACTACGTCAAGTTGATCAACATTAAGTTGTATCTTATCACACACACATACATATAATTATCGAATGAAGAGTTGAATCTTGAACGATTGCCTTTTCCTAAGACAATATGACATCATTATCATCACCATATATATTTTTGACACGGCAAATGCGAGTATGAGGCCGAAAAGGAGTCTCACGCCAATGCGACCTCCTTGCCCAGCATTATCCCTCTTACCCTCCGAAATCTCAACAACTGCTCAATCAATCCCATCCAATACCAACCTACCTTATGAAAAAGTTGCTCTTTTTATCAAATTAAGGTTTCACGTGAACAATGATATCCATACCCACCTATTTGACCAGCATTCAAGGACAATTGTACGAGGTCAAGCAGCCACGGTTGAATGGGCTAGCTTCAAAGCTGCGGCCTCTTGGTCTAGAGGTATGATTCTCGCTTTGGGTTCCTCTCTCCTGCGATAGAAGAGAGAGAAAAACAGAATGCGAGAGGCCCCGGGTTCGAATCCCGGAGAGGCCCGCGTATGTCCGTCAGATTTTGCTTTTTGGTCGTTGTGACACGTAGGACTTTTTTGAATATCTATTTAGTCCTCGTACGGAGTTAATCTAACCTGGGGGTTAGCGAACTGGTTCTTTTGGCGGTGAGTTCTTACTTACATGCTGCTGTGCGAGCTGCAGGACGGTCATGTGTTTTGTCAATATGTCCGCCGGGACGTCGTCTTGGGAGAGAAGTGAGCTGTTCATTGTGTGCCTCCTCAGCTTATCAATTGGTTATACATTCACACACATATATATAGGCTATTTAGTACCATATCCTACACGCATCTATACATTCATATATCTTAGAGGTGGTGAGGCTATTCTAGATAGTCCTAGGGTTATAGACCTCAATAATACGTTTATTTTTCACATACGACCATAGCCTCTAGAGAACTCAGGGTCCCGTCTGCTCCCCTTACGATAAACTGGAGAGCGCTCGATTAGTAGTTGGGTCGGTGACGACCAGCGAATCCCGAGTGTTGTATGTTCCTCTTTTTTTTTGTGATATTTGGTTGAAATTGAGTAGAGAATGCAGGTAGTGTGTACTTCGAAAGAAAAGCGGTTTATCCGGAAGATGCAACGCACATTTCCTATGAGCCACTCTTTTCTGCGGTTATGACCTAGCTAAGCGGCGTTGCCGTATAGAGCAACTGAAAAGACCTCTTCCGCGAGGGATTTTGGGTCTTGAACCTGGGAGGATTCCTCAAATCAAGGATGACCACATCTTCATCATCAAGGCCCATATGTACCACCTAGCCTTGAGCTCGTGATTATCCATTGAACAGCCAAGCTGACTGGGCTACTACTAGTGGGAATATGTATGGGTGGCTTCCAAGCTTATGTCGTGATACAACCAATAATTCATTTGTGCCTTTTACTGAGTCCGTACTACTGGTTTTACCAGCTTCAGCGCTACTGTGTAAGAGGAGGTGGGTGGAAAGGCTTCCTGCGTTCCGCTTTTTGGGATTAAAAATTAAAAAAAAAATTCATTTGTGCCTAATGGCTATATATTATGCGTAATTGGTTGTAGAGTATTAGCAGAGGGACAGCAGCTGAAATGTCAAGGGTTGAAGGGATCCGGCACTACGTGTGGGAGACTGTGCATCGAGACAAAAACATTGAGTTCGCTGGGTCATGAGATGGGCATTGTCCTATCTGCTTAGAGACAACCCTGTACGGCTGTAGGAGCACGACATAGAGGGCGAGATGTTCTCTCACTGATGACCCACTGAGCTAAGCAGATATTGAATACAGGCAACCAATTCCCGAATCATCTCAATATGGGGCTTCGTCGCTTCGCGTATCTTTTAGCATGGTTCCAGTGGCTTATACTTCAGCAGTGTACCCGAGAATACATGAACAAATTCGAGGAGAAACGAGGCCAGGTCCATCACAAGATTGATTGGAATTCGTCGCACAATATCGGGGAAGTCGGTCGATTGATAACCGGGTATCAATGAAGATGCGTTTTTAGCATTGCCTTTGTCACGAAACACTACCAGACTATGTAGCAGTCTCGCTCCCAAACCCAGACCGTTATGAACCGTATGAAACCCTTTACGAATCCTTCTTCGCCTTCTTGCCCTTTGTCTTCTCGGTACCGCGGAGGGTCTTCATGCGGTTCTTGCGTTGTTTTCCTGTAGAGATCTTGTAAGACAATTGTCCAAGGCGGAGGAAAGTCGGATAACCAGGTTATCATCAACATACTCTGTTGTCGGGATGCGCGCTCGACCTTGGTGGCTAGGCCGTTACGGATGAGGCGGTGCTTGGCATCGAACTTCTTGCGAGCTTCAACGGAATCGTAGATGCAGGCGAAGGCAGTGGTCTTGCCACCACCGAAGGCAGTGCGCAGGCCGAATACGCTGACCTGCTCGGGTGTCGCTTTGTAGAGGGTGGCGAGCTTCTGTTGGAGGTTGGCCTTGGAGATACCAGCCTGATCGGGGTGGATGATATCGCTAAGAAATTCTATGTTAGGAGACTGGGTTGCATCGAGAAGAGAATCGATTCGAATGGCGTGGTGCATTGGCTGCGATCGGAACTTGTAGCTATCGTTGCCGTAATTTTCGCCATCGTAGTTATCGCCATTGCCGTTGCTTTCGAAGGAAGTGAGGAGAGTAGGGACACTTACGCGACCATCTGCTTCTGTAATCCCGGATCTATTAGCATCTCCAGTTAATTCATCAATGGCCGTTCAGAAAATACGCACGCGAGCAAGCAGAGGGTTCCGCTGGAATTTGCGAGTACGCAGCGTGACAGAGTCGGCCATTTTCGCTGTGGTTGACAAGGAGCGAGAGGGTTGATGTCGTCGTGGGAATGGTGCTAATTGTCTGCGGTCTGCGGTGTGTAAAATCGTTTTTGATTTTTCGTGACGGCCGAGATGTGTGTTGTAGCGGGGACAGTGGCGGCTGGCCGCACCTGCACAGCGAGGCGAAGTGGCCAAGTGGGCGGCTTGGACCACTTAGGGCGGTTATTTGGTGTGGCATATGCTCCAGCCCTGTGGACTCCACTCAGTCGTCTCCACTAAATGTTAGCTAAGAAATGGCGGCAACTGGAGAGGACCAATTTTGTGTGCCAGCGCTTTCCCGTGAGTACTGCCGTGAACTACATATCCTTATTGCCCGATTTCTCTGGCCCCTCAGCACGTCCCAAACCTTGTTGACGTTGCATTGAAGTAGAAATAGAATCTAGAGAAACGAACGGACTATTCTAGCTAGATTCACTTACTTTCGAAGCTACTTAATGTTTGTATTGATCTACTGGCTTACGGAGTACTCCTCACTTCAATTCTCTAAAGGCTCGCGCTCTTGTAATATAGATGGAATAGTACGATGTCACAGCGGATGCATTGACTACTTAGTTTGTCTTAAATGTAACGAATGCCCAAGAGTGGTTATTTTAGGCAGAACGTAGACGATGAAACTCATTTCTATCGTGAGAGCTATGATTGAAATGACATTTGGGTATCAATGTCCCGCGAAGGTCCGACTTCTACGAGATGCTTGACTAGAGGAGATGATCATTCCGATACTATCCAGACATTCGATCCTCCAGCCATGCAGTGATAGAACCATCGCCATGAATGCCGGCATCCACTACCTGGATCCGCCTCTCCGCCTCATCACTGTTTTCGTCCATGTCTTCATCCCACTTCATCCGCTCCTTAAGTTCGATTTTGTTTATACTCCTGCGTGCAAGGCTTGCTAGCGCCTCTGCCTGGGTCCGGAAGTTGTTTCCGTAGTTATGCTTCGTCCGCCTCTGGCGCCTCCTCAGGAATGACGGTGGGAGGGACGGTGCAGGGTCATGTAATAGCAGCATCTCTGGAACCTTTAGTGTTGACTTGCGTGGAGGGAAGACCAGCGGGCTCCTTCGCGGATGCTTGGGAGGCATGAACAACATATCTAGTGTCCCCTCGGGCAGCCATGATAGGTCAGCCAAAGAGGAAAGAGGATGGATCGCAGTCTCGTTGAAAGACGGTGGTATGAGCAGTCCCGGGGTTTGGAAGAAGAGACAGGAACTGGCAAAGGGATCGAACATGTCGTCGGGCTTGTGGAAGAGTCTGTCGGCCATTTGCTTCAGCTCATGGAAATTAGGATCCCTGGGGGTCGAGATAAATTCCGCTAGAAAGTTGTTCGACAGCGGCTGAGGGAGCTTGTTGACGGAGTGGTCAGGTAAAAACATGGTCCAGTTGTAGACACCGTTGTAGGCGACGCAGCCCCGGACGGCCATTCGCTCGTGAGGATGGGCTTCGGTCAGGGCCAGCGAAGTGGCCAAGGACGCGCCTAGATACGAGCCATACACGTATATATCGCGACGCGTATATGTTTTAGGGGCCAAATTCTCCACAATCCACGAGTATGCTTTCAGAGTATCGTGGATTGGTGCGGGCCAGCGCGGAACGAAACGTTGATGGAACGTCTCGTCATCATCCGAAGCACCCTCCACTACCGATTTTCCTGTAGATGAGTCTTCCGTCCATCGGTAATGAATGACGGCCAGCGCATACTTCTGAGTGAACCTAGGCAATAGTGCTAGATTATTTGAAGGCGCTGCTGTGGAGAAGGGTGGGAGATAAATCAGCAGCGGCTCTGGCGATGAGACCTTGGCCAGATTGTGCAAGCTGTTTATGGATTAGAACGATGCCCTAAATAATATGAAGAACATCGTAAGTACTATCGAAAACTTACTCTATATTGACACTGCCGGACGACCCAACGCGCACGGCGATACGCTCGCCAGAGTGAAGGCCGGAGGCGATAGAACCCAGCTGCCTCGTCCCCAATCGCGGCGGAAAGGGGCGGGCTGCCGGCTTGGAGATGCTGTTAAGAGGCCATCTCATGGTCCCGCGTCCGGCGATCACTTTTCCGTACTTTAGCGACCGCTTTTCCTCATATAATAATGATCCGACGATTCGTACGAGATGTTCGTATCCCCGAATTGGTGATCGATGGATAAAAGTACTTACCGCGTTGTATGATGTTCTGCATAAGCACGCTACCAAGTTCTAGACCAGAAAAGCCCCGACTAGGCAATTTGTGGGCTGGGTGGTTTCCGGTTGGTCAAAGCGACGTCATTCGGCTGCGCGTTCTTGGGTCTCCTACAATGGCCACGTGCTAGATTATAAAACCCGGACTCATTCTGGTACACATGTTAGACATAGAATTTTAGACCTGTAGCTGCGAGTGAGACAGATTCAAAAGACAGCCGATTCTCTGTATACGCATCGAATCACAATTAGAAATTAAAATACTTACCCATAGCTAGAAGGCCAGTTCATGTGCTGAACTCATCAGGATTCTCGTCAATATTCCAGTATGAATAAGTAGCTCTCTGAATGATAATTATTTGGTCCGTCACGAGTCTGTGCAGGAGAAGGAAGTGGCCATTACATGCGTGTCAGGCATCGTGCCAAGATACAAATACCTCAGTTGCCGCCTCCCCACTATAGTGGCCTAAGTACATTAGTGCAGGCTGTTAGTAGAT